GCATCTCGGGCGTTTGTGGGAACTTATTTCTGAACACTTGCTTCCACCAACCAAACAGGAGTCAATGACTATCACACCAAAGAGACAATAAGGGCCAAGAGCTGTGGTGAGCACATCGCTACAGAGCCTTAATCCACATACTGATAGACGCGACTCAGTTAAGTCAACAAGGTCTCCAATTTAAAATGCATGTTTCTAGATGATGGCAAGAGTAGCAGTGAATACATCACTGCGAGTCACTATTTGTGCTTTAGATGCCCGCGTCTGTGTCCCACTGAGAGTTGGTCTATAGCTTCAATGATTGCTGCACTTCTACACTGCACACTAATGTTTATTAATGAATAACTTGGCTTTGTTTTCCAATGATATTTTAATGTCATCAATATGTACTTAGGTTTTTCATTAATAATTAACGCCAGATTCTTTCAAACACTAAACCATTTAAATGTAAGGTTATCTAATATACATGCCTATCTGTTTCTTTTCCCAGCTGACATGAGAATGTATTGTAGCGCTAGCTTTCATACAGCGTGTACAACAATGACCTGTACTTAACGGGATTCTATAGTAATTACAGGTGTTTTAAGTGTGTGTGTGGTGGTGGTGGGGTCGTCTTTGTTTGGCAAGAGTACAAAAGGAAGCAGCAAATAATGCTCATCTTTGAGCCTTTTGTTGCCACTCATGCAAGAGGTGCTCGAGTTTCCAATATCACTGTGCATGAGGAAACATATCCCCTTTTCATGCATACCCACCCCTTCGAAGAAACTGCAGGTGGGACAAAGGCCAACCTAGCAGTCTATCCAATTAACGCATAACAGAGGAGGCAGAGACCCGTGACTTCTCACACAGCTCAGTGGTGGGACATGATCACAGCTGAATGACAGTGAGAGGGAGAAAGAGGAGTTGGGGTGGGGTGTGTTACGTGTGAGAGAATGCAGAGGGTCGGCCCCAGCTCCAGCTGTCCCAGGGTTCATTGATCAGTGATTGGAGACAGCTCTGCTGACAAGAGGGGGCAAATTACCAGTATCTGCCCTGCACTTGATAACAATATGAGACAATTTAGCATAGACCTGGATACTGTATACGGATAATAGTATATAACTAATTCAAGTGTTTTCAGTCCCATCTGCCACGGATGTGTAATATCAAGCACCTAGCCATGCAGTCTGCCTTTAAAAACATTTGTGAAATTATGGGTTGTTCACTGAATTTGAATGTTAGGACGCCACCAACAGGTCGGTTCCAGGATCAACTTTAAGGCCTGATTTAGACTTCTTGGGGGAGTCTTTATAGAGCCTATACATTGCCTCACATCATTGTCAGGATTTGTGTGCATGGTGTATTATGTGTTAATTACTGTGTAATTGTGCCCCAGGGGTTTATATGCAATGCTGTCCAATAGAAACCGGGGTCATTGCTCTTTGTTGCTTTCAGTTTTATTCAGGGACAAACATATTTGTTAACTCCAGTTCTTTGAACATTCCCTCGCATCCATTCCGATAGCTTCAGCATCGTAAGTTAAACATTTTTATGATGTATTTGGATTTCCAATTACTCTGAGATGACCTGATTTAAAACCTCTGATAATGTGACAGTTTCAAGAGCTATCATATTGTCCCAGTTAAAGCATCTGTGAAACGCCTCTGATTGTTGTTTTTGTGATAAAAAACAAAAGCGTGAGTCTTCTCTGCAGGTGCCTAATTAAACTGATCAAGATGCAGTCCTCTTCCAGCTGAATCTAGGTCATTTCTACCGACACTGAACAAACACAGGCATAAAAACTTCTGAAATTATAGTCTGTAAATGTAACCTGTACTTTTGTTCAAACGCTGTGGCGATCAGAAGTGGAAAACATAATAAATTACACTTGGGCAAAATGTTGACATGAAGCCCACCTTTTGTGGATTTATAGACCCACAATATAGTGTCACATTAACATAGAGGTACATAGACCACAGTTTTAAAGAATACACTTATCAGCAGCATCAACAAAAGCACAAATGACACGGTTTAGATGTCTTCAGCTGCGAGTGTGGTACACAGATCTCTCATAAAGCCTTTCATAGATGTTGACTTGTCTCTTACACTGTTATACAGTTTCACATCCATTACATATTGAAATCATTCTAAAAATGACTTCTTTACTGCAGAGTCTATGACAGGTCAGAGTGACCAGCAGAAATGAATATAATCAGTGTCTGACAAAATATTTAACTAGTCTACCTTGGTATACATTTCACTTTTAGCAAAAGTCTGGTTTCTCCACTAAAGTGTACTGCTCTCTAAGGTACAGGATGTGACCTGCCTTTTCAAGTAACTACTGAAACATAGATATCATACTATAGTGACTTGATGCTGTTCAGTATATTATTGTCCCAGTAAGAAACTGAGTCTGTGAATCTGATTCCACCTACAGTACTGTGCAAAAGTTTTAAACCAAACCTCATTTCTTTATATTTTGCTTCCAATGAGCCAATAATTCTTGTAATTCTGCTTTTGCTCCAAGCCCTCCATCCTGGACCCCCCTCCACCTGCTCGGGCCTGGTGGTCTGCTGTTTTTGGGACTGTCTGGAGCCAGCCCTTAAGAGGGGGTACTGTCATGGTCCTGAGTCAGGGACCCAGTAATTTGTGGACAGTGTCTGAAAGTCAAGTACTTAAGAAAAAGGGGGGAAAATCTAGCAAAGACCTGACACAGGATCAGAGAGATGCATCTGGACCTTAAATGCATCTACTGTTTGCTAAAGCATCATCGGAACTGGCTTCAGTGGAGTGGTGGCTGTAAAGAAGCCATTCTTAGGGAAGGGAAATGGGGAGAAAAAGGCTGAGGTGTCCCAAATTACACAAGAGCGAGACTGAAAATCAGCGATAACAGGTTTTGTGAGGTGAAAATCCAAATTTAAATCCCTATCAATAATGTACAGACAAGGTCAGGAGGTACAACGGTGAATATCTACAGCTGTCTGTAAAACACAGTGGAGGCTCTATCATGTTTTAAAGCCCCACTTCAGTCAATGATTTTGAATATCGCTGCCATCAGATTTCAAACCTGGCTTAATTTTTCAGTTTCCAAACACAATCTGAAACAGGATTGTGCGGTAAATGTATACCTTGGGTAGAAAAACACATCAGTCATGGCTTTGCTGAGCCTGGACCTCAACATCAGTGAACCAGTGTGGCATCATCTTGACAGAGAACAGAACAACAGGCCGACAGCATCCAAAGAAGAGCTCTGAATGTTCTTCAACAAGCCTGGAGAACTATTCCTGTAGACTACTTTACATAAAGAGAGTTCAGGCTGCGGTCAAGAATAAAGATGGTTACACCAAATATTGACAGTCAAGCTTATTAGTATTACAGAACCTCTGTTCTTTAATCATAATAAGCTGTGCTTCCACACATGTGTTTGCGTTGCAGTAGATCACTCTACCTATTTCTCATTTTCCTTGCAAAATATAAACAAATGAAAGACGTTTGCACAGTACTTACCATAGAGAAAAACACAGGATGCAGCATACTGTGATATATGCTTCGAGCTGTAATCAACTTTAATTGTGGGCTGAATTATTTCAGTAAATGTCAGGTAAATATATTAATATACAGCCGTCAGGGCAAAGAACGGCTGAAAAACACCACAAGATGACAGCGCTATCTGACCAGAGCAGCCGGATGATCAACAGTAGTAGTGAGAAAGCGGTCTCGTGCTCTGGGGAATTTCCCCTTCCACGTGTCTGATTACACGACCCAGAAGGCCGGGTAACAACAAAGTCGGCTATTGGTTGCAGCACCCATATGTAGCCGGCTCTTAAAGGGATATGCTTTCTTCGCTTGGAAGCAGTGCAAGTGTGCCGGAGGGAAAGCAGGCCTCTTTAAAGAGGGTTTGTTTACTAATTTTTCGCGCCACGCCCCGTTGGCGGAGTCAGCTGACATGCCTGCAAAGATATAGGCTGCTAGCGCTTTTCCTCGCAGAATGGAAGTAGTCGTGGAGGCGATAAGGACTAAAGTCGTTTGACTCAGCGGGATTCTGAACTCTTAGGCTTTTTTCTTTTGTTTTCTTTTTGTTTTCCGGTTATAGGACAGTCGTTACAGCGAAGCCGATCTGTGTGGTAAGTTCACGGGAGACACTTTTAAACGCTGTTAAATGTCCTCGTCCAGGGCACACTCTGTCCACCGGAGCGAGCTGATTACATCAGGTAACATGCGCGTCCTTAAAAATAAGCACCGACAGCGCAACGTGCCGCTGCCTTCCATTCGCGTCTGCATTCATTCGCCCTATGTTGCTGCACGTAACCACCGGGCTTGTCTGCTCATAAACGCGGTTAAATGTGCTGCCTGTCATTCACCCAGCGCAGATTTGAATTACACCGGCTTTCCCGGTTTGCTCAGCCCGGCTTGGTGAATGGACTTCAGACCGCGGGGCGCCGAGTGCGTCCCCGGGTGCTCTGTTAAAACGCAGTAACGACTGTTTTCTTCCTATAATGAAATGAATCAGCGTATTACACATATGCCCACGCTTGTCTTTATTTCACGCCACTCAAGCTGTATTTTTGCATGTCTTTTCGGTCAAATGTCGGTTTAAAACGCGCTCTGCTTTATTTCTATATGTTATAAATGTGTGGCCGAGCTTGAGCGTGAGAAGGCTTCATTTCTCGGTGTGAGTAATGTTACATAAAGCCGACACGGCGTGGTGGAAGGCACTTAAAGCCCTTGGATTGAAACTGTGTCAATAACGGAGCTCCCTCGCCACCACCGCATCTTTCCCTCCTTCCCCTTTGTTAATTTGTCTGCAGCAGGGGGAGCTACTGTCTGACACAAACATGCAGCTCACTGCCTGGTCAGTAGAGCAGCACAGACAGCAAGCCTGTGTATCTGGAAGTTGAACCTAAGGTTTTCTCTCTCTCACACACACACACACACACACACACACACACACACACA